ATGGAATCTTCTATCTAGATTTGACGAGTTGAAGTTTCTCTTCCTCTCCTTTCTTCTTTTAAAGTTTTCGATCTCTCAAACATTGCTCGTATATTATGTTCATGAAAAGAAATAGCTAAACAAGCTAACCAAATAGAAACCATTGGCACATCTTCCCCTTATTATCTATTAGTTGACAATAACCACAAGCTAAGTTTTTCTCCTAGGAAAGAAACAATTTGGGTAATAAATCGACAAATGACATCAATGCCAATATCGATTTTTCATGGTTAAATAGCGGGACCAAAGACTTAATTATCCTATAACTCGAACCCCATCCCATCTTTTTTTACTTTAAATGCGTTGTTCGCAAATTAATTCAACATACCACTCGGGTTTGTGAGAAAGAAGATGAATGTACTATTTTGCCTAAACATTTCTTTTTGTCTCTTATATCTTATAGCTAAGAACTAAATTCCCTTGACTTCTCAATTTCGGAAGATCATAAGCTTGAAGAATTTTAGCCTTGTTGGTGAACAACCTCTTCCTATACGCCAACAAATGTCCTAACAAAGCCAATCCAATAGAATAAGTCATGGTTTTGAAATAAACGGGATATATCTTGTTCCGCATTACCCTAAATTATTGCCTTGGCAAAAGCCTAGCCAACACATAGCTCGAAATAAAAGCAACCCAAACACACATCCCATAAGCAATGTCAAATGCCAAAAAATTCACAACACCCATCAACAATGTCGCTACCTCCAATACATAACTTTTCACATGATTCACAAAATTATTAATCTTGTTTAAGACATATTCTTACTGTAGCCACCGGTAATGGTAGGCGACGAATGACGATTATGACAACAAAAACAATGGCGAAACAACAATAATAGCCATCGATCGCTACATTTAAAGCAACCACTAGCCACAACAATAACAATAAAGACCAACGAGTAGGAATTAAACCTCTCATTCCCCTAAGATCTTCCCTTAGGATTTAAAAACCTAAAAATCAAACATAATTTTATCCCAAAAAAAAATAAAAATAAAATTATATATATATATATATATAACTATTTTTTTTATATAGATTTAGGGATATAGAAAATTTAAATTTTCTTGAGAAAGAGAGAGAGTGTGGGTTTGAAAATAAAAAAAGAAAAGAGAATGCAAAATAATTTGGTTTTGGGATAATAGGGACAAAGTTGTATTTCCATAATATTTCTTAATACTAATTATTGATTTATTATTATATAACTAAATGTTTGACTTATCAACGGGTAAAGGTCGAGCATTAGAGACCATCGGGTTTTTTATAACCGTTGGCAACACTTGAATAGAAGTGGGAGCACATAACTATAGATTTTGTAGTGGGATTACTAAGATCATAAAGGGATCTAATGCCATCCGGATCATCATAAATAGATTAACGAAGTCGGCTCATTTTCTACCGGTGAAGACAACTTTCCATCCGACCTAATATGTAGAATTATATATGAGTAAGGTAAGGTTATATAGAATACCCATATCGATTGTATCCGATAGGGATCCAAGGTTCACATTGAATTTTTGGAAGATTTTGCATGAGATAATAAATGCTAAGCTGAATTTTAATATTGTTTTTCACTCTCGTAGTCGGAGAGGGTGATACGAGTGTTGAAAGACATACTAAGGGCTTATGTACTTGACCGATCGAGTAAATAAGAAAAATAGTTATCACTTGTAGAATTTGCCTATAATAATTATTATCGAGCAAGTATAGAAATGCCACCTTATGAGGCATTGTATGGGAGGAGGTGAAGATCACTGGTTCATTGGGATGAGGTATGTGAGAGAAAATTATTATGACCAAAAATAGTTCAACAAACAGTGAGGTGATAGAGAAGATAAGGCTAGTGATGAAAACAACTCAAAGTAGGCAAAAAAGTTACGCCAATCAGAGGAGAAAGTGTAACTCTCATAAATTATATATATATATATATATATATATATATATATATATATATATATATATATATATACATGTGGGTTCTTGAATTTTTAGTGTGCTTATTGCATGAGGATAATTGATTTTTAAATGGTTTCAATAGATATTGATTTAACTATGTGGTGTTATAAATAATTTTTTTTGATTTTAAATCTACGAATAATTTTCTAGCATAATAATAATAATTTATACTTGTTAGCTGATTTTAAAATTTAATTGAGATGTGGGTGTAATTTGTATAATATTTTAATATTTTTATGGTTTTAATATTTGGTGTTTATTTGATTATTTATGAGAATCAACTTTCTAGTAGCTTGGTTAGTCGTTATTTATTTTCCCCATCGCGTATCTAGAATATGCTAGGTAGATGAAAGAATCATTTGGATATTATGAGGGTGTCGAAATTTTTGGACCAAAACATCCCTAGGATTAATTTTTAATTACATCACCTACCCTCTAATTAGAATTTGCCACTCGAGCTTCTAATTTCTTATACTACTTTACACCTCATAAGCTTGGATTAGGACATTTGTTAAATTCATTAGTGAGGGAAGAAAAGAAAAAAGAAAGAATAAGAGAAAATCCAAGACGAATGGCCGACCACTTTTAGCAAGAAATTTTTTTTTATCTCACCAACAAAAAAGAAGGTCGAACAAGAAGAAGGAAAAAGGAGGAAGAAAAGAGAAAGAAAGAAGAAAGGAAAGGAGAAGAAAAACCAAGAGATTTTCTAGGAAACTTAAACCAAGTAAGTAGGAATTTATTTTACACTAGAAATTTGAATTCTAAGTGTTTAATTTATTTGAATTATTTGAGTTGATGACTATATTTTCATGAGTTGTTTATATTGATGTTGTGAGTTTTGATGGCTTAATATGAATTTATTGGTTTATATTGAGTATTTGATGATTTATTCATATGTTTACTCATTAATTTTGATAAAGCATTGTTTTATATCTGGCTATTGGTTGTTGGTTTTGGTTGATGAAGTGATGTGCTTGGATGGAATTTATTTGAAATGAATAATTTTTTATGTGGATATGGGAGGAATATATTTAAAATGGTAAATGGTGGGTTGGTATAGTAAGAATTAATGGGATTACTTATTAATTATATGACGAGGAGATATTTATTAAAGGGGTGGATGGGTATTAATAGCATAGAAAAACAAATTTTGGTGGATAGAATAATTGTAGAGAATAATATAGAAGCATATTAATTATTGGAGGTTATTAATTATTATGTGTTATGAATTAAATTGAGGTGAATAATTGGTGTGGATAATTTTGGTACTAAATAGTGAATATGAATTTATTTATTAAATAGGTGAGTGTATATATATATATATTGGGAGTAAATAATTTAGGAGTGTGATTGATTAATGTGTTAGTGATGGATTAATTATATTAAAAGATTAACCTATCCTATATATGTGGTTACATTAATAATTAAATGGAGGCATTGATTAATTAATATGTTGTATAAATAAATAAATTCATAATAAGCTATAGGATGGGGTGTGATTATATATATATATGGGGTGGGGTGAATTATATTAAAAGATTAATTATATTGATTAATTAATTATATTCAATGGTAATTTATTTTCTTAAATAAATATTTATGTGGGACATATGAGGTATGTATTTATTCCTATATGTGGGATGAATTTCAAGAAATGGTTTGAGAATGTTGGGTTTGGTACCACGACTTGACGGATATGGTAAATGAAACATCATATGCATTTGTGAGTATATTGGAAAGTCGGGTGATTGAGGACCGATAAGGTTTGGTAACCGAAACTAGTTTAAATGAGTATTAGCGATGAAGCTATGTGCGTGCTTTATTACTTAGTTACACCGTTAGGTGATGGAAAATTTCACTAACCGTGTGCTACAACGATGAAAAATTTCTTTGTTAGCAATAGGTGATAAGGCAATCACCAAGAGATGGAAATAAAGCGGACTTGCTAATACCTAGGGTACTTGAACTAAAATGAGTAGACAAATTTAAGGTAAGAAAAAATCATTGCATAGCACGTGCATCATCCTACTTACCGTGCTTTGGCTCATATTGTTGTTGTTATCTTGTGGTATAATAGGTAAGGACAAAGATGGTTCTATCGAGGAAATTGTCGGTTCTCACTAAAAGGGCTTATGTGCTACTCGAGAGTATATGAATCTTTTGAAGGATTATAGATAAGTAATGCTTGTATCTATTTGTTGGTAATTGACATCGTGGATATTTTGTAATTCCTATGACTTTATTTATTAATACCACGTAAATTTTATTATACATATTCCATCGTTTAATATTTTATTATTTATAGTTGAGTATTATAGGGATTAGTCGGGATTTTAGTCTTAATAACATAACAAACCTAGTCACTTCTATTTAGGAAATAGTAAGTGAGTTAGGGGCATTACAATGTGGTATCGAACGTGGTTTAGTTAACCGGACGAGTCTTAAGTGTCACATGAGCTTGAGGACTAGTGCGCTTACTCAATAAGTTAGTTTTGGTTCTTTGTTTCTAGTAAATGTGTGTTTATTGAGTGTTTTTATGTTAGTATATAGCTATTTCTTAGAGATGTTATTGATTGTAAATATTATCGTGGTAGATGCCGTACAAATAGGGGTGTTCGTTCGGTTTCAAAATTTTTTGATCGATTTTTAATTAATCAAATTTTCAAAAAAAGTAACTCGAAATTGAATCGAATTGTTATTTGGTTTTCCAATTTGGTTTCAAAATATATCGATTTCGATGTTCCATAATTCTATTTTTACCCATTCTATTGTTTTGAAGAAAATATAAAATAGAAGGAAAATATAAATGTATCATAGTGAACTCGTCATGATCATCATTGAATTTACATGAATGCAACAATCTACAATGCAGGGAACAATTAATCAATTATGAGCCAATGGTCATTGCATTTTACATCTACGAGTGCATGAAGCAATTATGAAAGGAAATATGCTTATATAATACATCCTCCTCATTAAAATTTGCCAATATCCAGAATGGAATATATCAAAAGGAAATATGCTTTTCTTCTCGAGTAGTTGCCATAACGTTCAAGGAACCATTAGCAATCGACGAACCAAAAGATGCTAGCTGCCGACCCTTCTTACGGGCATACATCACATAGAAATCAAATTTCTTCTCATCATTCGGAATGTCAAGAGCCGGATCATCCATCCCATCCCGGATACGGGTGAAGCCTTTGGTCATCTCATTGGTAATTATAAGGCCTTCATTGAAACACACTTTAAGTAGATACAACAACTCGTCATTCTTCTTTTCCAAATGCATTTGCCATGACCATCGCCTTCTTCACCACCTCGTGGTTAAAGAAAGGCATTCCTAGGTCATAAATACATTGGCAAGCTTTACCTAAAACACCCTCACTTTCATACTCCTTCGGTAATTTAATATCTTGTCCTCTCGTATCTTTTCCACAACCTAACTAATCCCACCTCCCCAACTGGAACAAGTAATGTAATACAATGACATCATCGGCATACACTCGAGAGTCTATTTACAAAATCAAAACTTTAAAAGATATGGGAAAAGATTAAGAGAATATCAATAAGAAAGAAGCAAAGAACCTATGTAAACGAGTAAAAGATAAGCAAAGTTTCAACCAGTTCCACACTTTCACTTGCTAAGAGAATCGTTGGGCCCTTCAACTCATGTTTAATTATCGTTCTTTCTCTTAAAGTACTCATGTCTTATTTTAAGTAACCTAAGGTAGCATATTCTTCTATCTTAATTGATCTTTATGAAAAATGAAATAATCAAGAGATTGTTGATAATGGGGACAAAGCGAGTGAATCCAAGAAAGTTACCGAGTTAATATGACAATACCTATTTCAATTCGGGTATATTAATGCCCATCCATATTGATGCAAGAGACATGACAATTAGCATAATTTATGAAACAATAGCAAGAGTGAGACAAAAGTAGAAGTTTGGAGAAGGAGGAAGTAAAGGATGTCCGAGGTACTTCGAGTCAAGAGATTGTCGATTGTGAAGAGGGGAGGTGGTCGATAGCTAAGGGTCGTCCGAGAAGGAGAGGGGAGGTGGTAACCGGTCATAATTAGCAGTTGTAGGAAAAGTGTTGGACTCCAGAGGGGGACCGGGAAGCGAGTTTATATTTAGGGTTAGGGATTGTGATTTAAGGGAGACTCACATTGTTACACAACGTTTGTTTTGAAGTGTGAAGTATATATATATTTTAAAAAAATTTTGGTTTTTTTGTTTAACCTTTTTTTTTAAAAAGAAAATCGAACCCAAACCCGAAAACTAAATTTATTTCGGTTTGGGTTTTTTTAAAATTAAAAAAAACACACCAAAATGAATATTTCGATACGGTTCGGTTTAGTTATTCGATTTTTATCGAATAGCGAACACCCCTGCATACATACGTTGCATTCCCCGAGCTTTTAGGACGCATCGACGGAGGCCCACCCTAGTTGTTTATCGGGCCAAACTAAGCAACCTTACCATGACACCGGACTAGGATATGGTGGCGTAAATCATTAGAGTGCATGGTTTGATCTAACGAATAACGTTTATCGATGCCTCTTTCAATTGATATCGTAGTGTGGATTATATGAGGATGACATTACGTCGAAAGCTTTACCGTGGGATCAACAATTATTGGATGAGGTTTGGGAGAATGAGGTGGATCAAAATTCTTACCGAGATCCGATTCGAGCTTTTTTATCGATATAGGGTAGGCGGACCCTCACTAGATTGATGTATGATCGGGGTCTAGCTTTATATCTCGTTCATGGGATAGTAAACTCCACGTCGATCAATAGCATTGATTGGTAGAGAGTGGAGTATTCCATTTCTAGTCGAGTCCGATATTTCGATCCGAGTACATCGGATGTATTACTAGGGAATATGTATCGTACGGTGTATTATTTTGGATGAGGTTTAGGAGAAATGTCTTTTAGTTATAGGTATGGCATGAAAACCTTTGGATGTAAATGTGTTTGTTAATATGAGTGTCCGTTTTGCATGTTATACTTAGAACAATTTATATGGATATGGATACATTGTATTATGTGTCGTATGCAATAAGAAATAATTTCGATATTAAGACTAACTCGAATATGACGTGGTATGTGCAAAGTTAAATCATACCGCCAAGAAGGAATTTTGTGAGAGCGAGAGGGAGAAGGGACCTTCGGTAATAATATTGGGAATCAATAAGAGGCCTTGAATCATATGATGGAGATGATGCGGCAACAATAACGAATGATGCAACAACAATAAGAAGCCCATATGGAGCGAGATGAGGCGACTCCTAGCTATACAACAATAGCCTCTTCCTCAACATAGAAATGACACGATAGAGAGATTTTAAAAAATGAATCCCTAAGAGTTTCTTGAGGTCGTTAATGCTATGGTAGTCGAGGAATGGATTAAATCTATGAAGGCGATATTTGAGTACCTGCAATTCCTTAATAATGAGCGAGTGTTGTGTGCTTTTGATGCTAACTAGAAACGTCCGCATAGTGGGAGAGTGCATGATTAACGAGTAGACATGCCTACTTTAACCTAGGTAGGGTTCAAGGAGGTCTTCTATAATAAATACTTCACCACAAATGTGAGAGCTAGGAAAACCCAACGAGTTCTTAGAATTGAAACGGAATGGAATGTCCGTAGGTGAATATGTGTGAAGGTTTAGACAAGAATATAGATTTATCCTATTCATTACGGGGGATGAAAATTTGAAAAAGAATCGATTCTTAATGGGGCTAAACCCGAGAATTCGAAGTATGGTACGGATGTCGACCGTCGATACTTTTCTAGAGATGGTAGATAAAGCAATGTTAGCGGATGAGGATCGAAGAAAATTATAAAAGAAGTGCAGCAAAAGAGGCAAGCATTTAAGTCGGGAGCCTCTTCGTCGGACTAGGAGGGCGAGCCCCAACTAGGAATTTTAATCGATATGGTGGTTAAGGAAATGCATGAGTCGTCGAGTAGAAGCTGTACATTCCAAGGTCGCTGGCGGGTAATCAACCGAGATCATTGATGGGTAACTAACCTCGATGCAATAAATGTGTGAGGTTCTATACGGGAGAGTGTTTACTTGACTTGAGGACTTGTTATATTTATCACAAGCAAGACACGTATCCTATAACTTCCCTCGGGTGCGAAAACCGGGATCGGGGAGGATACCGCTCAATTTTACATAATGACGTAAGAGGAGGTCGACGGGAGGGACGCGGTGGTGATTTATGGTAATGTCTCAATCCTTGGCTTAATTACTTATGTTTTGATTGATTCGGTGCTACACATTCATTCATATAAAAAAATTAATGAAAAGCCTAGGAGTTAAACCCGAGACATTAAGCGTAAGGTATCTTATTGATGTTCCTTCTAGAGAATTTATGGAGTTAATAGGTATAGTCGAGAGTGTCCGAGTGTGGGTTAAGGATAGAATTTTAAAGGTCAATTTGATAATGTTGGATCTTTAAGATTTTGATTTGATTTTAGGGATGGATTGGCTAATAAGGCATGATGCCAATATAGACTATCGAGGTAAAATGATAGTTTTTTATCTACCTAGGGATTAGTCGTTAAAGTTTAAGGTTGATTCGAAGCTACGAGCTATATCAATCATCTTGGCCTTAAAAGCTCAAAAAATGCTAGGAAAAAAGATGTATGGGGTACCTAGCGCATGTGGTGGATAGTTAGGTAGAACGAAAGTTGAAACTAAAAGAAATAAAGGTTGTGTGAGAGTATTTAGACGTATTCCTAAAAAATTTAACTAAGTTACCACCGAATAGGGAGATAGAATTTGAGATTGAATTAGAGCTTGGCACGATCTCGATTTATAAGACTCCTTATAGAATGGCCCCGACCAAGTTGAAGGAGTTAAAAATGCGATTGTAGGACTTACTAGATAGGAGATTTATACTCCCTAATTTCTCACCACGGAAAGCTTCGGTATTGTTTGTAAAGAAGAAGGATGGTAGCTTGAGGCTATGTATCGACTATCGAGAGTTGAGCTGGGTGACAATTAAGAATAAGTATCCGTTATCTCAAATTGATGATTTCTTTGATCGAGCTATAAGGCGCGATGATGTTTTCCAAGATAGACTTGTAGTCGAGGTACACCAATTGAGGATAAGGTCGAAAGATATAAAGAAACAACATTTAGAACGAGATATAGCCACCATGAGTTTCTAGTGATGTCGTTTGGGTTGACTAATGCCACTTACGGCTTTTATGGACTCGATGAATCGAGTCTTTAAGGAATTATTGGATAAGTTTATCATTGTGTTTATTGATGATATTCTAGTTTATTCTCAAAGTAAGGAAAAGCATAAGGGGCATTTAAGAGCTACTTTGCGGACGTTAAGGGAGTAGTAGTTGTATGCAAAATTTAAGAATTGTGAGTTTCGATTGAAACAAGTAGTTTTTTCTTTACCATGTGGTAATGAAGGAAGGCATTGCGGTGGACTCAAAGAAAATAGAAGCTATCAAAAGCTGGCCTACCTTGAAGAATGTGTCAAAGGTAAGAAGTTTTTAGGTCCGGTCGATTATTATTGAAGATTTGTTGAGGGCTTTTCTAAGAAAGCTATGCCCCTTACTAACTTGATGAAGAAGAGTGTTAAGTTTCAATAGACGAATGCTTGTGAGAAAATTTTTTAAGAGTTGAAACAAAGGTTAGTCACGGCTACAGTGCTAACCATTTCGTTCAAAAATGAAAATTTCATGATGTATAGTGATGTTTTTCAAGAATGGGTTGAGAGTGATGTTGATGTAGAATTAAAAGGTAGTGGCCTATACTTCATGGTAATTGAAGGAGTATGAACGGAATTATCCTACACATGATCCGGAATTGGCGATAACGATCTTTGCCTTGAAAATTTAGAGACATTATCTACATGGAGAAAGATGTGAGATATATATGGACCATAAAAGTCTACGGTATATCTTCACACGGAGGAATTAAATATGAGGCTAAGGAGGTGATTAGGATTGGTAAAAGGCGGTTGCATATTCAACTATCACCCGAGGAAAGCCAATATCGTTGTCGATGCTTCAAGTAGAAAATCCATAGCGACGATGCGGGTAATTTAGTTACCGATATTAAGGGATATTTAAGAGTTAGAATTGGAGATAATCCTCGTTTGTCACGAAAGTACTTTGTTAGCCTTATTAGTCCGATCGACTACTATAAGAAAGAGTTTAGATGGGGCAACAAACGGATGAAAGGCTGAATGGGTTAAGGAAAAATATGAAGGTTAAAAAGGAGTCCGAATTTGTTGTTGAGGACAAAGGGGTGA